TTTACAGAGTTCACGTATCACGTGAAGAGAGGAAATCACGCCAGAACCCTGCATGTTCCTTGCTTCCCAGATTTTCCAGAGAATGAAGAGGGGCATAAAAGGACGAATCGAGAGAGGCAAAGCATCCGGCAAGGAGGTGGTGAATATCTCCGTAATAGGGCTGAACTGTGGCCTTATGCCGGTAGCGCACCAGATTCGGCGAGCAGCCGGGGGCAAGTGAAGAACAAATGCTCCCCGTCCTCGACAGCGTTGTTGCACCTTGGTCAAGTATCATAGGTGAGGATGTGCTTCTTGCGCAGATTCTTCCTAGTGTTCATACGGTCCAAGAGAAATAGCCATAGACGGTCCAAGAGAAATAGCCAACCAAAAATCATGACTTTTTTTGGGCACCCTGGAGTCTAGTGGTTAAATATGAAATCTCGGTAGGATCACTTGCCAATTTGCTTTAGGAAATCGCGTTTTACGATACTGTTGATACAAATTTCGTTACTACACCAAGATCTTTGGAATTCTTTTTTTTTCCTTAGCGGATGTTTCTTTTTGAGGAAAATGCCATCATGATGGTTTATATTTCATGTGTAAATAGGGCTACATCGTTTGGCAAAGTATCAAGCAAGAAAAAGGAAGGGTCAGACTGCCACACAATAGTTTGTGAGTCCTCCAACATACTAGCCAACAAGTCCGACGTCATATTGGCTTCCCTTGGACAATGATGGAAATTAACAGAATTAAAATTACGACAAATAAAAGAGCACTCATGGTAGATAGCTGCTGTCGGCCCTAGTGAGTTGCCTCCATTGAGCATCACTTATACGAGGATGGCAAACGTGGATGTCATATTCTTATTTTTCTTTTGTGAGTGAGATGCTGCTCTTCGATTTGACGCTCACTCTCTTGAACCCATAGCCTCGAGCATGATGGGGGAATGGTCTGCTCCTAGCTGCCAAATACATTTCTTATTATTTTCTTAGGAATTACAACAATCATTAGAGCATCTTCAACAGCCGCGCTTCGCGTCGCGCGCAAAAAATCTGTTTGCCGCGCGCGCTTCGGCTGGTTTAGCGCGACCGCTAGCGCTGGCTCCAGCAGCCGCGCTATAATGCAGCGCGCGCGTGCCGCTCCAGCAGCGCGCAAAAATACAGCGCGCGCGACTCGCCGGGCATTTAACATATATGACATTTTGGACACAAAATGAGTTTGAAACATTCATAAAAATGCAATGAACATGTGAAATTTGACACAAACAAGTTGATGAATAAAAGTTCATGCCCACAAGTTCAAAATCATGCCCACAAGTTCATCCAACCAAGTTCAAAATGCAAACTAAAGTTTAAGACATAAATGAAAGACACATCAATCATCTTCCTCGTCTTCGTCCTCATCTTCCGAAGACGATTCTTCCTCCTCCGAAGATGAATCTTCCTCCCTAACCTCATCATGCATCGCATCACATGAAGCTCCGACGGTGTTCGCAAGATCTTCAACGGCATCTTCATGGGAATGTGTGTGAGAAGGCACATCGAAAGACATTCCACCCATGGCCGGAGGTGCACCCATGCCTCTCATAAGAGAAGCAAAAATCATGCCTCCCATGGCAGCCATAGCGTCAGAGGATGCTCCAAAGCCACCCATGCCTCCCATGGCGGCCGGAGGTGCACCCATGCCTCCCATGGCTCCCAAGCCACCCATGCCTCCCATGGCGCCAAGGCCA